AGGGACTACGAATTGATAGTTTTCAATTCTTCTGGACCGTTGACCTTCCGCTGTGCCAAAAAAAAAAAAAAAAAAAAGGATGCAGCAGGAAGGAAGGAATCCATATCCGCTGTGACTCCCAATGTTTTTCTTCAGCTGTCAAATGGGTTATTTCTCCATTGAACTTTCACTTGACGACTGCGCGCGATCTTACGATCTATGGGTTGGATGGATTCACATCGTACCGAAATGGAACAGACGGACGAAATGGCAGGACTGCTCCCTTCAGTCGTCACAGGTGAACACTCTTGCCGACCTTGCGGTGTATCCAACGGATACACCTTTCTCTCAATCAGGCTGCTCTCTGATCGCCGTCGGATCGTCAGCCAGCGTGGTTGGAGACACAGACACTTGACGCAGAAAAAATGGCAGGACTGCTCCCTTCAGTCGTCACAGGTGAACACTCTTGCGGACCTTGCGGTGTATCCAACGGATAAGCCTTTCTCTCAATCAGGCTGCTCTCTGATCGCCGTCGGATCTTCAGCCACCGCGGTTGGAGACACAGACACCTGACGCAGACACTTGACAGAGACAGACTCGTCAGAGTGCCCTGCCGTCTCCAACAGGTCCCAGTGAGATAGGGAGAAGAAGCTATTGGAGACGGACTAAGCAAATGGCAGAACAGCGATACGTTACCTCGAGTGGAGCAGATGGATACTGCAAGGGGAACAGATAGATGCTTCTGTTTGTGGTCAGAGACTACGGTCAGATTCTACGGATGTCCGCGTAGTCTCTGGCAGCTTGCAGATGACGCATTTTTGGTGCGCGGAAGGACTTATGGTGTGTGGCAGCAAAATACTGACTTGCTGGGGACTCTTGTGTGCCAGCTGCCGTATCGAGGAAGGGATCGTCTTCAACATGGAGAAAAGGGATTTGCTTTGAACTGTTAACCTCTTGCATGATGACATTGATGAGGTATTCTTTACGGAACTGCCGTAAACCAGTAGCACACTCGGCTCCAGCCCTGCAGTTGGAAACTTTTGCCTCCACAAGAAAAGGAGAGAGGCCGAAACGTCAAACGCGGTCACGTTTTCGTTTCGCACCTCCAGAAACGACAAACGCCTGGCGTTGATAAATTAGATCGGCGGTCGCGGTCTCGTTTCGCGCCTTCAGAATTTGAGGTGTCAGACCCGCAGCCCAGGTGCCCATGTACCGGTGCTTTTAACATGAAAACTACCATCTACGGAATCATCTTGACACGAGCTGCCATCTCACGGGTGTGTGTCTTCTGAAGCCCATGCAAAAAAAAAGCGATGAAGCACTGAAACAGGATGGGTTTAAGAGAAAGGGGGATGGGGATACTGGAAGGTGTTGCTCTGTCGTTGGGGAGAGCTCCATGTCCTTTCCGCTTGTTCGCTTAGCGTTGTGCACTTTGTTCATGTCTCGGAGAAGAGAGAGGGATTTGAACTCTTAACCTCGTGCGATGATGAGCTATACTTAACGGAATCGCCTTCACACGAGCTACCATCTACGGAATCATCTTGACATGAGCTGCCATCTACAGGTGTTCCTCTGTCGGGGGAGAGATCCAAGCCCTTTCTACTTCGTCGCTTAGCGTTGTGCACTTTGTTCGTCTCTTGCTTGGCTGCGTTCAGAGTCCCGTCATCACTAACCTCGTCCATACAATCACCACTGACATTGGCATTTGTCCTCATCCACCTCCTTTGCGGCCGCCATGGAATTCTCGACGTCATTGTCAGTGTTCTTTCGAAAGGCGTCAAGATACCGCGAAGCTCCCGAAAGACTCGAGGATTCCGCCGAGTCTTGGGAATGTCGTATGGTGCAGTGTGCGTGCGTGTTCCTCCCTCGCGGTGCAGTGTGGGAGTTCCTAGCTCTTGCTGACCATGTCAGGGAGTAGGTTTGCTATGCTGTGACTGCAGGCCCTTGCAGAGGGAAGGAGAGTGTGCCCCTGGGGGAGGCTTTGCGTAAGCTCCAGGCCAGAAGGGGGAGAAGGAGGGGGGAGGGGGAGGGAGTACAGCTAGCGTCGCAGCTATAACTTTCAAGCAAAGTCTGCTTCTCAGCCTGTCTGGCAGTCTCTGTCCAGACCCTCCGAAGATGGGACGAAGTATATGCTCGAAAATGCAAGTACTGTCTCCCCCCCCCCCCCCCCCCCCCCCCCCCCCCCCCCTCACGACCAAAACCCTCCCCCAACGGCCCTCCACCCCGAGATTCAGACCACCTCGACTGTGTCGAGGACGACGATCTATCCGGAAAGGAGGACACCTGATTGATTGCAAGGGTAGGATATGTGATATTGCTACCCCTCCCCCCCCAAACCCCACCCGCCCCCCCCCCCCCCCCCCCCCGCCCCCGCCCCCTTTCTTTCCTTTCTTGGTAAAGAAATTATCCGAGGGTTCAAGCCTCCACCACCTATCCCTTTCAATCCTGGCTCTGGAGGAAGCCTCCACCACCTCTGGTGGCAACCGCGACCATTGCATCGCAACGGAATCCACCAGTTTTATTGCAATTCATTGCATCATGCGGAGATCCTGACACTCAAAGATGCCGACGCTCAAAGATGCTGACCCTGCGACTGGAAGTTGTGAAGTACTGATCTTGTCTCTGTACAGCAGACAGTGTACGTAGCAGCCGCTCTTCTTCACTTCTTCACTGTTCACTGTTCTCAACTTCAAAGTTTTGGTCTGCAGACACTGCAGCGTTTGTATGCAACACTCTGAAGATTGAAGATTTCAAATGTTTCCAGCTGGCTTGCAACAGCCTTCTCTTCGTACTAGTTTATAGTAAAAAGAACAGCTGATAGCACTTGCATGTTTGTGTAACGTTGCTAACGCTGCGCCCGTTTTGCACCCGTTTTGCGCCCATTTTGCGCCCGTTTTGCGCCCGTTTTGCGCCCGTTTTGCGCCCGTTTTGCATCCGTTTTGCATCCGTTTTGCGCCCGTTTTGCAACTTATGCGTGCCGTTTATGGTTGTACCAGCAATGGTGTTTATGGACTTTGTCTTTGTGTCTGTTTTGGCATTTTGTGTTTGCGGCTAGTGCATGTTTGTGTCCGTGTTGTTATTTGCCAAGACGTTTGGGCTTTTTTTGGGGGGGGGGACTTTTTTGTCTCTTGATCCTCGTATCGATGTGTTGGTGGGTGTGGGCAACTGCTCTGCTCATGGCGATAGACTTTTGACTTCCTTGTCTGTTGATCCTTGTATATCAAATGTGGAGGTGGAGGTGGGTGTGCGCATCTGCTCATGGCGATGGACTTTTTGTCTGTCGATCCTCGTATCAATGTGGAGGTGGGTGTGGGCAACTTCTCTGATCATGGCGATAGACTTTTGACTTTTTTGTCTATTGATCCTCGTATCAATGTGGAGGTGGAGGCGGGTGTTGGCAGCTGCTCAAGCCTCATGGCGATAGACTGTGTTGTGTTTTGTGGCGCATGATGGCTGGCTACCTATTCATAGTTGTTTGCAACTTGCCCAGGCTGTTTTTTTTTTTTTTTTTCGTTCTCTCTCTCTGATGCAGTCAAATCTCTGAATGACATCGGTTGTCTGCAAACGCTACAGGCTCTCTCTAATTGCTTTTTTTCCACTGGAGGCCATCTTGTCTTTTTTTTTTTTTTT